GCCGCTGTAGAAATGGGTGGGGGAGGATGGTGGGGCAGATCAGGAGGAGGAGGAGGAGGAATAGGAGAAGGAGGAGGAGGAGGAGGAGGAGGAGGAGGAGGAGGAGGAGGAGGAGGAGGGGGCATCTTGGGAGCCTCTGAGAGCACTCCTGGGGCCTCCTGGGAGCTTCCTGGGAGCCTTTGAAGGTATCTTGGGGCCTCATTGGGCCTCTTGGAGGCCTTTGGTGGCTTCTCGGGGTCGTCTTTGGTCGTCTTAGAGCATTCCTGGCCCGCCTGCTGCCGTCGGAAGCCGTCTTCGGGGCCTCTCTGGGACGACTTGGGGCCCTCTTGGGGTGCTCCAGGGCCGTCTTGGAGGCAGATCTTGGACGTCTTCAAGGCCGGTTTGGCCATCTTGGGGCCCTCTTGGGGCCGTCTTCGGGGCCTCTTGGGCTGTTCTGGGGCTATCGTGGAGGCCCGAAGAGGCCAAAATCATTGATTTTCATATAGTTTTCGAAGGATTTTGGAATGTGTTTCTTCTCGGCATTCCGACGGCCCACGACGGCCCAAGAGGCCCCCAAGATCGCCCAAGAGGCCCCCGAGAGGGCCCCATGACGGCCCAAGTGGCCTCCAAGGTGGCCCCAAGAGGGCCCCAAGACGGCCCAAGAGGCCTCCAACACGCCCAAGATGGTCTCCAAGACGCCCAAGATGGCCTGCAAGACGGCCCCGAAGCGCCCCAAGAGGGTCCCCCGTGGGCCCAACAAGGCTCCCAAGACGGCTCCCGACGGCGTCAGACGTGCCAGCAACCCACCAAGATGGCCGAAGTTGGCTCGAAGCTGGCCCAAAAGGGCCCAAGAGGCCCCCACGAGGGCCTCCAGGAAGGCCAGAAGATGCCAAACACGGCCCGAGACGGCCCAAGAGCCCCCAAAGATCGCCGAAGGATCGCCCAAGAGGCCTCCAAGACGGCCAAGATGACATTCTAGATGCCCACGTGTTCCCCGAAGGCTTTCCAAACCGACTCGGGGAACACATGGTCCGATGGCTTGGCAGGTCTGGCCTCAACGTTCGGCCACATAGGCGCTTCCACAAAGGCAGGGGGCGCCGGTGATTCGCCGTAGGCGTCTTCGATCCGCCGCCCCCTTCTGCTTCAGCAAAGGGGTGCCTGGCGTGCCAGACCCTATCGGTTTTGGTTCTTTTTCCCAAAGAACTCTCCCAGTGGGTTTCGGCCCGTCCCGCCGGGGTCCCGAGATTTTTTCCACGGACCTCACTTCCCCAATTTTCTGCCCAAGACGGCTCCAAGATGGCCTCCAAGATGGCCAAGATGGCCCAAGATGGCCTCCGAGATGGTCCAAGATGGCCTCCAAGTCCGCCCAAGATGGTCCAAGGCGGCCTCCATGACGGCCCAAGAGAGTCCAAGAGGGCCTCAGACGGGCCAAGAGGCCCCCCAGAGGCCTCCCAGACGGCCCAAGAGTCCTCCAAGAGGTCCTCCAGTAGGGCCCGAAGAGGCCAAAATCATTGATGTTGCTTCGGTGTTTGAAGGATTTTGGAATTTGCTTCTTGTCGGCATTCCGACGGCTCCAGACGGCCCAAGAGGCCCCCAAGATCGCCCAAAATGCCTCCAAGAGAGCCCCCTGATGGCCCAAGTGGCCTCCAAGATGGCCCCTAGAGGGCCCCAAGACGGCCCAAGAGGCCTCCAACACGCCCAAGATGGTCTCCAAGACGCCCAAGATGGCCTCCAAGACGGCCCCGAAGCGCCCCAAGAGGGTCCCCTGTGGGCCCTGAAAGGCCCCCCAGAGGGCTCCCGACGGCGTCAGACGTGCCAGGAACCCACCAAGATGGCCGAAGTTGGCTCGAAGCTGGCCCAAAAGGGCCCAAGAGGCCCCCAAGAGGGCTTCCAGGAAGGCCAGAATAGGCCACAAACATTGATTTTCCTTAGTTTGTTGACGGATTGTGACATGTCCTTCTTTTCGGCCTTCCGACGGCCCGAGACGGCCCAAGAGCTCTTAGAGATCGCCGAAAGATCGCCCAAGAGGCCTCCAAGACGGCCAAGATGACCTTCAAGACGCCCACGTGTTCCCCGAAGGCTTTCCAAACCGATTCGACGAACGCATGGTCCGATGGCTTGGCAGGTCTGGCCTCAACGTTCGGCCACACAAGACGGCCAGGATGACTTCCCAGACGGCCCCAGATGTCCTCCAAGTCCGCCCAATATTGTCCAAGACGGCCTCCAAGACGGCCCAAGAGAGTCCAAGACGCCCCAAGAGGCCCCCAGAGGCCTCCCAGACGGCCCAAGAGGCCTCCAAGAGGTCCTCCAGGAGGGCCCGAAGAGGCTAAAATCCATGATTTTCCTAGGGTGTGCGAAGGATTTTGGAATGTGGTTCTTCTCGGCATTCCGACGGCCCAAGACGGCCCAAGAGGCCCCCGAGATCGCCCAAGAGGCCCCCGAGAGGGCCCCATGACGTCCCAAGTGGCCTCCAAGATGGCCCCAAGAGGGCCCCAAGAGGCCCCAAGAGGCTTCCAACACGCCCACTGGAGGACCTCTTGGAGGCCTCTTGGGCCGTCTGGGAGGGCTCTTGGGGGCCTCTTGGGCCGTCTTGGACCGTCTTGGACTCTCTTGGGCCGTCTTGGAGGCCGCCTTGGACCGTCTTGGGCGGACTTGGAGGCCATCTTGGACCATCTTGGAGGCCATCTTGGGCCATCTTGGCCATCTTGGAGGCCATCTTGGAGCCGTCTTGGGCAGAAAATTGGGGAAGTGAGGTCCGTGGAAAAAATCCCAGGACCCCTGCGGGACGGGCCGAAACCCACTGGGAGAGTTCTTTTGGAAAAAGAACCAAAACCGATAGGGTCTGGCACGCCGGGCACCCCTTTGCTGAAGCAGAAGGGGGCGGCGGATCGAAGACGCCTACGGCGAATCACCGCCGCCCCCTGCCTTTGTGGAAGCGCCTATGTGGCCGAACGTTGAGGCCAGACCTGCCAAGCCATCGGACCATGTGTTCCCCGAATCGGTTTGGAAAACCTTCGGGGAACACGTGGGCGTCTTGATGGTCATCGTCGCCGTCTTGGAGGCCTCTTGGGCGATCTTTCGGCGATCTTTGGGGGCTCTTGGGCCGTCTCGGGCCGTCGGAAGGCCGAAAAAAGGGAAATGCCCAAATCCATCAAAAACCTTGGGAAAATCAGTGATTTTGGCATCTTTTGGCCTTCCTGGAGGCCCTCTTGGGGGCCTCTTGGGCCCTTTTGGGCCAGCTTCGAGCCAACTTCGGCCATCTTGGTGGGTTCCTGGCACGTCTGACGCCGTCGGGAGCCGTTTTGGGGGCCTTTCTGGGCCAACGGGGGACCCTCTTGGGGCGCTCCAGGGCCGTCTTGGAGGCCATCTTGGGCGTCTTGGAGGCCATCTTGGGCGTGTTGGAGGCCTCTTGGGCCGTCTTGGGGCCCTCTAGGGGCCATCTTGGAGGCCACTTGGGCCATCAGGGGGCTCTCTTGGGGGCCTCTTGGGCGATCTTGGGGGCTTCTTGGGCCGTCTTGAGCCGTCGGAGAGCCGAAAAGGCGCAAATGCCAAAATCCTTCAAAAACCAAGGGAAAATAATGATTTTGGCCTCTTCGGACTCTTGGAGGACCTCTTGGAGGCCTCTTGGGCCGTCTGGGAGGCCTCTGGGGGGCCTCTTGGGCCGTCTTGGGCCGTCTTGGACTCTCTTGGGCCGTTTTGGAGGCCGTCTTGGACCATCTCGGGCGGACTTGGAGGCCATCTTGGGCCATCTTCGCGATTTTTTGAGGATGTCCCGAGCGAAACGGCCGTTTTTGGAGGATTTTTTTCCGGATTGAGGTGTTTTCGGCTTCCTCCCGGGACCCCGGCGGGACGGGCCGGAGCCCACTGGGGAGTTCTTTTGGAAAAAGAACCAAAACCAAAACCTAACAGCTCGTCCAGCACGCCGTGCACCCCTGCAAGCAGGGGGCGGCGGATCTAATGGGCTTCGGCCCATCCCGCCACCGTGCCTTGGGTTGTGGCTTTGAAGCCTATTGGATGTTCGTTGGGATCTCGTGCTAGGCCTCTCGGGGGCCTCTTGGGGGCAGTTGTAATGCCTCTTGGTGGCCGTTTGGGCCCCCTCTTTTGGGGCCTCTTGGGGCCCTCCTCTGGGCCTCTTGGGGCCTTTGGCGCCTCTTGGGCGCCTGCCTCTTGGGGGCCTCTGGCTGCCTCTTGGGCGCCTCTTGGGGCCTCCTTTTGGGGCCTCTTGGGGCGGCAAACTGAGATGTTCGGTTCGCGTCCTCGCTCCTGGGCCCATCCTGGGGCCGTCTTGGGGCCCTCTTGGGTCGTCCTGGGCGCCTGCCTCTCGGGACGTCTTGGGGCCCTCTTCGGGGGCCTCTTGGCCGTTTCGGAATGGTCTGGAGGGCCTGAGCGTCGGAAAGCAGAAAAGGCGAGAACGTCCAAACCCTTCAAACACCCAAGCCAAATCAATGATGTCCTCTTGGCGCCATCTTGGGAGGCCTCTCGGAGGCCTCTTCGGCCTCTTGGAGGCCTCTCGGGCCGTTTTGGCGCCATCTTGAGCGTCTTGGAGCGATTCTTCGGCGACTCCACGCCCGTTTGGGCCGTTTTCGGAGCCTCTTGGGGCCATTTGGGCCCGTCTTGAGGCTTTCTTGGATCCGCACAAGTCATACGAGAAGATTTCCCGGAGCTCAGGAGAGAGGGGGGGCAAAGAGAGAGTGGGACGGAGAGAGAAAAACATATACGTATAATATATGTCTGTATTGTGAGAGAGAGAGGGAGGGATAGAGAGAGGGAAAGAGAGAGAGAGAGAGAGAGAGAGAGAGAAAGACGGAGAGAGAGAGAGAGAGAGAGAGAGAGAGAGATAGAGAGAGAGAGAGAGAGACACACTTTTTTATCGACGTCAGGAGCCCTGTGGCAAGAGACAGAGACAGAATGCGCGCGGGGAGGGGAGGAAAAAGGGCAAGCGGGGTGGGGACGCAGCCGGCTCGTCGAGCGTCCTGCGCAGCCCGTGGCAAGCCAAAGGCCGCCCTCCCTGGGGCCGCCAGCCTACGGCCTGCCGGCGGCGTCAATGCCGGCCGCCATCCGATCAATCAGCTCTGCGAGCTCTGGGTCAGAGAGGTCGTCGATGGCGGCGCCCAGCCAGCGCTGCAGCACCCAGCGCGTCCCCTTGACCGGGGACGTGGCGGAGGGCAGCCAGCTCCTCCTCCGCAGCGCGGCCACACCGGGCCAGCGCACCCACCAAGGCGAGGTGGTGCGCGCGCGCCGCCGCCGCCTCCACCTCCACCGGCGCTGGCCCGGGAGACACCTCCACCGGCCCGGCAGGGCCGGGAGGTCCAGCAACCTCCACCTCCACCGGGGGCGCCGCGGGAGGCAGCTGGGTCCACCTCTGCAGGCAGAGCCGCGCCAGCGCCAGGGAGATAGAGACACACAGAGATGATGAGAGGGAGGCAACAAGAGAGAGAGAGAGAGAGAAGGACAGAGAGACACACAGTCGGACCGATGTATTAGATCGAGGCTGGCTCGGGGAGGGTGCCCTGGTGTGCTTCGTGCTTGTTGGATGTTTTTGTGCATGTTGGGGAGGGTACCCTTGTATGGTGTGTGTCTTTCGGCTGGCCATCCTCATGTTGTAAAAGGATGTTCTTAAGTATGGCCAAGGTCCGACTGTACCTATACATAACTATGCAGATACAACGCAGGCTGGATTCGTATAATATTTTTACAGGTCTATATCTATAGGTATGTATGTGCGTGTATATGTGTAGAGAGAGGGAGAAAAAGGGAGAGAGGGATATATATATATATATATATATAAGAGATAGAGATGAAGACAGGGGGGACGAGAGAGAGAGAGAGCGTGAGCGGGGCAGAGAGAGAGATTCATAGAGATATCTGGACACACACACATTTTTACATATACTTACATATCGAGAAAGGCAGACCAACGAAATAACGAGAGAGAGAGAGATTGAGAGAACCCAGAAACACGACATATGGTTGAACAGTGATGATAGAAAGCATTCATGCGCTGGTTGACGGGTGTGGCCAAATCTTGCGTGTTGGATTTGCGCGCCGCGTGTTGGTTTCACCGTGGCATGTCAGAGCGGCGAACAGGAGGTGGTGGATGCAGACCAGTGACAGTGGCCAGATAGGCATCATGACACACGAAGAGGATAAGGAGAACGGGTATGAACAGGAAGTGAGTCCCCATGCGCGCGAGTATGTAATTTACCTTAGCTATGCTTCTCGTCAAGGACAGAGCGCGAACGCGACAGCGAAATTTCAAGGTACAGCTGAAGCCACAGCTTACACGCAGCAGGCTAAATCGGACTTTCCTGCTGACACATGGCCCGTGAGCTGAGCTAGTGTGGCGCATGGAAGAGCAGCACTGGCCTCGCCATGCAGTTCCACCCGAAATCCTTGAACTGCGCGTGTGGAGCGCAAGGTGAGTTTTACCACGGGCTCCACATTCAAGCCTGCTGCGAACTACGCGTTGTTCTGAACTGATCGGACCTGCGAAAGCTGCTGCGAACCGCCTCCTGCAGTCAGCCCGCATAGGAAGGATGGGCAGCCTTCCCGAGGGTACCCTTGCATCCTTGCCCCTTCGGCCCATCCTTAGCGACGTTCGCTGGCCAACCTTGTTCGAAGAACGTGAACATGGCCCTCCAGGGCCCTTGCATCCTTACCGAACATCCTTAGGATACGGGTCGACCGTAGCAAGGGCAATCTCGACTGCAGAGGGGCAGACGGCCAACGTCAGCATGAGCCCACATCAGGCACCAACTACAGGGCGACCTGTTGCCAGGCCAAGCTCGCTGGGAGGCAAGGCAGAGTGAGTGCCATCTCAGGACCGACATGCCGCGAACGGAAGACGCCAACTCTACGCGAACACAGCAACTGGCAAGCCTCTTCTGGGCATGTTGTCCGGACGCCCTAAGAGACAGCGGAGTCCAATCTGGGAGACGGCAGAGTCTTGCAGATACATTGGGGCAAAGCCTCGCAGTTGTGTTGTTCGTAGTTCCCAGGAGACAACAGTACTTTGAGAGACAACAGAGTCCCATCTGGAGTTCGTGCTGATGCGAAGATCGTGTGCACAGGTATCTACTGGTTCTTGTCCATAACGGGCAGTGCAATCGGATGCTGGAAGGCAGCCCTGAGCAAGCCAGATCAGGTTACCACATGCACAGGCAAGCGCAGGAAAGCCCAAACTACGTATGCCAGCCCAAGCTAAGATATGATACGGCACGACAGAGTATATGATCAGGCTGCATCGTAACCTGAAGTACGGCATACTGCGCTGAAGCGGGCTCAATCAAAGTCATGTTTAAACCATGTAGTACGATATATTGGAGCCAGGTTGTTGTAATTTGAGCGCGAATCAGTTGAACAGCCACACGCTGCTCTTAGAGATAGTTGATTCTACCCTAAGCCCTCGTACATCACGATCGCTTGTCAACATGCAGGCAGGGTGGCAACTTCTTTAGCAGGGATGAAGTGAATTCCAGCCAGTCCACGGTTGGTCAGGCCTGGCGAAGCCAATTCCTGGTTAAACCCACCCATTCGGAGGTACGGGCACCTTTCAAATAAAGCATTACCGCAACACCCAAGCCACCCGCTCAATACACATTAGATCAAGGAAGTTGCAAGGCGCATTATGATAAAGTCACGGCCAGTAGTGCGCATACGCACACGGGGCAGCATATGCGAGCATACGCGCACGCACCAGGAACAGTTCAGGCGGGATACGCTTATGATTACCCATGATCATGTGATGTTGGGTCCTCGTTTTGAAGTTGCAGCGCCCTGCGTCACTCCCGCTCCTCCTCCTCCCCTTCCCCCCTCTCGCCCTGCACCTGCCCCCCGCATGTTCCTGTTTCGGCACACCCCCCACACGCTCCGTGGCCTCAATATTTCCCCGAGCGCCACCGAGGGCCCCGTGGGAGGGCCCACGTTTCGGCACACCCCTCGCACGCTTCGTGGCCTCACAGGGAGCGCCACCCGAAGGCCCCAGTGAGAAGGCCCACGTGCGAACCCCCGCCCACCTCGACACGCCTCGCATGATTCGCAAGGCCTCCGCGGGAGGGTCGTCCACGTGCGGCCCCCCGCCGATTTCGACACACCATCCGACGCTTCGTGGCCCTCCTCCTCCTCCTCCTCCTCCTCCTCCTCCTCATCCTCCTCCTCCTCCTCCTCATCCACCGAAGGCCCCATTGGGAGGATCCCAGAGCGGTCCCCTGCGCATGGCAGCACACCCCTCACACGTTCCGTGGCCCCAGGGGGAGGGCCACCGAAGACCTCGGTGGGAGGGTCCAAGTGCGCCCCACGGCCCACTTCGGTACACCGTCGCACGCTCCGTGGCCCCACGGGGAGCGCCACCGAATACCCCAGTGGTAGGGCCCCCGTTTCGACACAGCGCTCACGCGTTTCGTGACCCCAATATGGAGCGCCACCGAATGCTTCAATTGGAGGGTGCACGTGCGGTTCCCCAACCATGTCAGCACACCATGCACGCGTTCCGTGGCCATGCGGCCCTCCGCTCATTTCGGCGTACTCCTCACACGTTACGGGGCCCCAGATGGAGCTCCACCGAATGCCCAAATGGGAGGGTCCATGTGCGGTCCCGCGCGCATTTCGACACCCCTCACGCGTGCGGCCCCCGCCCATTTCGACACACCGCTCACACGCTTCGTGACCCCAGAGCGGGTGCCACCGAAGACGATTCACAATTGCGTTACCCACATTTGCATGTCGGTGCGTCATGGTGGGTTTCGTCAGGGTAGCTTCTGCCAACGAAGAACGTAGTATTCGGCATACTCACAGTTATGTTCCGACGCGCTCGCGTATGTACAGGCACATGTACGAGCATACGCAGTGCGCACAGCCATGCTGTCACTAGGCATGGGTGTGACCACGAGCATCGACATCAGACAATGCATAGTCAGTCACGTGCGCCTGACCATACGTGCTCACAGTGCGGCAAACACGTGCAGGCAGAAGCGTGGCCATATTCGTGTGAGCAAGCACGCGAAACGCACAAGCAACACCATACGCCCAGCCACAAACAGATGCGTACACGCATGTGCTGGCGTAGTCCTGAGAACGGGCATGCGGGTAAGTGTAAGTGCAAGTGTAAGCGTGTCTGCAGAAGTAGGCGTAGGCAAGTTTCACATGCACCGAGTTCACGACCGCATGCAAATGTATGGATCAAGGTGGGCATGCTCCAGCAACTTGTGGCCATAATATTTGATTCAGGGACCGATCACTAACTCATGCGGTCGACGGCGAGGGGGGCCCTCTTCGTTTAGCAGCGTCACCATCTCATGGCTAGAGCGCATAGCGACCAAATCTCTTGTTCGCCGCAATAAAGGCTCAACAACTCTTTGAGTCGTGATGTCTCGAGAGCTTCAGCCTGAAGTATTGGCCCAGACCCTGGGCCCACATGTTGTGATTCGCCAGCATAGTAGGTTCCACACCCACTCTTCAAAGAAACATGTCTCGAGTTTTGCCTGTCGGTCAGGAAGTAATATCAGCCAAGTTACTCTGCAATTGCGGTTGCTTGCTTGTCATTGGTTACAGGTGGGGGGAGGGTTGACGGGAATATGCGTTACGTTGGTTTGGTGTTTATTCGGCACAGCATCTCTCCCCCTCGCTTGATCCATGCGCTTGCGCTCCAGGGGTGTATACACTCAAGCGCCGCGCGCCCCGCCGCCCACGCGACCGCCATAGCCGCCCACGCGACTGCCATAGCCGCGCACCATGTCCGCACTCTCCTCTTGTCACAGTTGTTGTTGTCGATGGTCCCGTCCTCATCCTGCTCGTTTCTTACCACGCAGAAAGAAGAGCAGCAGGAAGAAGAGCTGTGCGCAGCATACACGGATTCGTCTAGAATGGCGCTTCAGTTAAGTGGCCATGGGTATTGGTAGCCAGTCGTGGCCCAGCACAGGGCATCCCGTCTGTAGTCAGTCTGGATATCATAATGCCTGAGCGCGTCAGAAGCAGATGTACAAGCAGCGGCAGGCAGGGTGGGCGATTCGAATAAGCGCGCTGGTCGCGCGGTCGGCCGAGCACGCCAGCTTGAGCACTGCATCCGGGGGGACGGGAGGGGGCGTGGCGGCGGCGCGCAGGTGTTATCATGATCGCGCTTGCATGCGTTGTGTTTTCGCGCACATGCGTGCGTGTGAGTGCGAAGCGGAGCGGTGGTGTGATCTGGACTGGTCGCTCGGGCAACGGCCCAACGCTAAGTTGGCTCTTCTC